GGGGGGGGGGGGGGGGCACAATTACAACGAAACAATTTTAAGCAAATTTTATTTTCTTCAACTATTGGATCTGAAATGTGTTTCGATGGATATCGGTTAGGGCCTACTTTAATGACACGTGACATACTAATCAAAAAGTAGGTCACCGTATGTGCACCTCACGTGGGGGCTAGGTTGGTCAGTCCTTAACGTTTTCCCAAGACCTTGTCGATGACTTCTTGTTAACGAGAACATGACGTAGCTGATTGGCTACGACTCCGTTCTTCCGTTTCAACTGTGTGACAGCGTGCGTCTATTTGGCAGGCACAATCTACACTTCCCACTAAGAGCAGTGGGTATTTCAGACATTTTCCCAAGGAAGGGGGGGCACTTCAGATTTCTCGGGGGGGGGGCAGTGCCAGCAGTGCCCGTTGCTTTATTGTTGGACATATTTTTGCTCCGGGGGGGCACTTGGCTTTCTCGGGGGGGGGGGTTTAATCACCCAACAACCCCCCCCCCCGGAGATATAGCTGAAAGAAACCCTGGCTAAGATCTCCACATATTTGTGTATTCTTCTAATCGAAAAGTTCCCAACCTTTCTTGTTAAAGTCGTGACTCAATTTTTATTTTAAAAAAAGGCGAACCTCTTCCCTGTACATAAAAAAGAGTGTTTTTTTTTGTTTTTTTTAAATAATGAAATAGTAGGGCTGAGCCGAGTACTGACTATTAGTAAGTATTAAAGTTTAACATCCACCCACAACGAGATGTGGAAAAGAAAACAGCAGAGCCATCACGTGACCTTTTTTAAGCCCACATTTCCGTTTTTTTTTACCAACCCCCACCCCCCATTTTTTATTTAAAATCGATGGTTAAAATGGTATCCACATAAAAACTTTTGGACGCCCGATTACCGTGCGGAGCGCCCCCACCCCTCCCCGACACCGAGGCGTCACTAGGGTTGGTGTCAACCGGTGCGGTAAACTCAGGGTGTCATCCCCCTTTTTGTTCCGGATCGCCCCTGCGGACGTGCCCCGAGTCACTGCCAACAGAATCCCTCGTAGTCCCAACGCAACAAAAGACATCTCAGAAGAACACAAATAGAATTGCAGGAAAAAACCTGTAAAAACTGGGACAATTTGTTTTGTGTGTGAAAATGTTTAAAACAACTTTGAAGTTGAAATTTTACTTTCATGCTCTTCAAAGATTCAAGCCTGTCGATCACCTCATTGAAACCGGCATTCTTCACCTTATCAAAATCAAGATTCTTCACCTTATCAAAATCAACATTCTTCACCTTAAAAAATCATCATTCTTCACATTATCAAAATCAACATTCTTCACCTTATCAAAATCAACATTCTTCACCTTATCAAAATGAACATTCTTCACCTTGTCAAAATCAACATTCTTCACCTTATCAAAATCAAGATTCTTCACCTTATCAAAATCAACATTCTTCACCTTATAAAATCAACATTCTTCACATTATCAAAATCAACATTCTTCACCTTATCAAAATCAACATTCTTCACCTTATCGAAATGAACATTCTTCACCTTGTCAAAATCAAGATTCTGCACCTTATCAAAATCAACATTCTTCACCTTATCGAAATGAACATTCTTCACCTTGTCAAAATCAAGATTCTGCACCTTATCAAAATCAAGATTCTTCACCTTATCAAAATCAAGATTCTTCACCTCATCAAAATCAACAATCTTCACCTCATCAAAATCAACATCTTCACCTCATCAAAATCAACATTCTTCACCTTATCAGGATCAACAATCTTCACCTTATTACTTTCCATTGACAACATAGCTGAACCAGAAAGCCAGTCCTGTTCCATGGTAAATCCAAATAAATGGTTCTTTATAAGTTTCAGTTTAGAAAAATTCCTCAATCACACGCAGCCAACAGAGCCACTGACCATGAGAAACAAGTGTAGGCTCAATGAGACCATTTGGAGATATTCTAGGAGGTCCCAATTCAGCTATTTCATCTCAACACTTCAAATCTTGACGCATGCTTGGCTTCATTGTGATTAATTAAGATCTGCTGGCTTCGGCAGCCTCGATGTTTCAAAGTTCAATTTCAGGTCATAAAACGTGGTCACTGAACAGCTTAACCCGGCCCACCTGGGGTAAAACGTGGTCAATGAACACCTTAACCCGGCCCACCTGGGGTAAAACGTGGTCACTGAACAGCTTAACCCGGCCCACCTGGGGTAAAACGTGGTCACTGAACAGCTTAACCCTACAGGACCCCTCGTCGATGGCGCGACTAATCGGAGAATTACATTTTAAAATTTTAGACACACTTTCAAAATGAAAATCGAGTCAAAGGCATTAGTATTTTTAGCTTACAATTTTAGCCAGCGACCCCACATCTTACTTTGAATTTTTTTGTTCCGAGTAACAACGTTCTATTAAAAAACTCCATTCAATATTACAGTATTGTTTTATAACTTTTACAAATGACTTTCAATTTTAAGTCCTTCTTTCTTATTTATCACTATCCATTTCCGCCTCCTCTATATTTAGAAGTGTTTGGGATTTCCGATTAGACTAGGTTAAATTATTTTTAAATAATACAGCGTTAACTCATCAAATAAACACATATTTCTTACAGTTCATGCTTACCAAATATGGCTTTTCGTCTTGGAAAACTTACATTTCAACAGAGATCAAATTTTCTACCATTTTCTCATTGGGATATTGCTTTAGTTAAAGAAAAGGTAGGCCTGGGCCTGGTGTGTGGAGAAGTTGAAGTAGGTAATATAATATATTTTATATAATAGTAATAGTTACTAATAATAATGTAATATTAGTAAATTAATTAATTATTAATTAATATTATTATTAATAGTAATCTAGTGTCAAGTAACATAGTAGTAAATCTAGTACTACACTATTATTAATAGTAGTTATTATTTTAAAAAGTTTGAGTACCCGGTATTTTAAATTTAACTGATTGGATAGGGTACGATTGTTATTAACTATTAAATACTAATCGACTATTAATACTGCTTAATGCCAGGGTTGAATAGTTTTAGTTCTGTTTTGTTAAAAGTAACAGTAATAACAGTTAAGGCTGTATTTTAAAATTAAAATGCTTCAGTAGCAGTTTTTTAAAACTTAAGTTTAAGCCTTACAATTTTTTTTAATTTTATTAATTGACTGTGACTGATTGACTGAGAATACAATACAACAAAATTTGTAACAAATGTTGGAGGAAAAAAAAACATTCATTATTTATTATTTGAGCAATGGTGGCAGTCAATGGTGGTATTAGTGGTATGTCCTTATTAAGTCAAATCAAATTGTATCTGGACTGCAGACAGGGCTACACTCCTTGAAATTTAAATCTGGCACACAGCATCTGATTAGCATCAGCTTCACAAGCTTCACATGATGGATACAAATACAACACAGTATTTTTATGCTAAAGACTAAGACAATCTCAATTTTTTAAACTTCATTGTAAAACGAATCAATCATGTTTGCCCAGTTTCTAGACTAATTTTATTGGACTGACAATTTAAGGTTTGTGGACCTGCAACGTAAGGCTTGCAGACCAACACAAGTCTATTTAGTAGCATTATTGAGAGTCTAAAATAGACCAAACTTTATTAAAATAACTACTTTATTAATTGAATTTATAATAACTATAATTATTTATAGTTTTATTATTATTATAATTTAGTTAGTTCAGCTTTGCACTTTTTTTAGTGAGGGGGGCATCCATAAATAATTGAGTGGGGGGGGGGGGGGGCTTTAAAAAAAAACTTTTAAAAAGTGTGGGGAGGTATATAAATTCTGCCAAAGTAGCATGACATCATTTTTTGGCCCTCAAGAAAGTCAAATTTATGTCATACTCTGCGATTAAGTTTAGTTATTTGCTTCACACTACTGTACCAAGGCAGGCATTTCAATTTACCAGTACACTTAATGGCTTGAGTTCAATGGGCATTTATTTTCATTCTATAACTTAATTTTTGTCTTCTTATTCTGTTTTGAGGGCTCTCAACTTGCCACTTGTGTCCAGAAGAAGAAGAGTGTAGATGCAGACTTCTGCCATAATACAGCATACAACAGCTGTCCTAGTCCAAAGTCACTTGCTGACTGTAAAACACTTATATCAATACTCTTATATCAATTTAAATCTGAATGTAAAATTCACTATGGTTTCAGCGTGTTAACTTCTACAGGAGTTAAACAAAATAATTTGTGTAAAAGTGACTTCAGCTTTAAAAAACAATATTGTTTAGGATATAACCAATTAATGATAATGAGTGTAAAAAGAAATTATTGCAGCCAAGTTGGCAATATAAGTCAACAGAAAGAAATAAAGAAGGATAAATCTGATAAACAAGCTGGACAATCTCAGGAAAATTTGGCCAAGATTCAAGAAAGATTGAAATTATTAGTAAGTTAATTTACATAATTACCGGTATATGTAACTTATTTGATGAGTCTAAATAATTATAAAAATTGAAGCTATGTGCCTATCTTTTACATATTTAAGATATTTACCATGAATAATTTTTTAAAAGTTAACAAATTAGTGATTGGTGTTGAAGAAGTTCAATACTATCATCACTGCGCATGTAATTTTTATGTGTCACCATCAATAATAAGCCAACAGAGAATGAACACATCCTAATTCTATATAAAAAGGGAACCGAAGACTTTTCTATCTTAAAAAATAATATAATTTCGGTGTAAACAAAGAAATATATAACTTAAATCTATATAAAAAGGGAACCGAAGACTTTTCTATCTTAAAAAATAATATAATTTAGGTGTAAACAAAGAAATATATAACTTATTCTACAGTGCGACAAGTGGAAGCCTACTGAAGTTCAGTATTACCTGCTGGTCTGGGAATTCAATTCTAACATCAAACACCCACTAAACAGAATAATAAAAAAAGCTAGTAATACCACACAAATAAAACTGCCTTCGCATGCAGAACTATAGTAAAATGCTTTTATTAAACTAAAAAAATTTTGGAGGTTCATCACACCATCTTCATCACAGATACCTAAGATCAGCTAGATTAGGGGGAATTCTTTCCCTTAAAGTTAGGACGGAGAGATGTAAAAATTATTTTGTTTCCAAATCGATCAGAATATACCAGCATGCTCCCCCAGCTGCAGCAAAATCTTGATGATTGCTAATTAAGTCATAACTGTCGCTAAAGGAGTTAAGTTTTATGGTATAAGATGTTTGATTTTTACACTAGAGAATACTTTGTCTTGTGTTAAAACTGTTCAAGTTGTAAATTGTTGTCTTTTTTAAAGTTTTTATTTAAGTGCTGAAATTTTGTATATGCAATGTAATAAGAAACATTTCAATTTATTTGAATCATTGAAAGCATCTTATCTTTTCTAAATTAAAGGCTTGTGTTTGTATTCTTCAGGTGATGGATATGTTTAAAAATCAACATGACTATGGAGTTTTACACAAAGATGTTGTTATGGAAAACAACTTATTTGGGGCAAACAAGAAAAGGATGTAAGTTCTGATTACCGGTACTATATTTTTGATGCCTATATGCATCCAGGGCTCATTGAAACATACACTGGTGAAATTTAAGACCAGTTTTAATTTAGCTATAAAATATCCCTGGTGTTTTTGTTTTTTCCAGTGTGTTTGCCATTTTTATAGTGTAAATAGATTTTAAGAAAGATAAAGTATCAATATTTGCATCAATAATTCGCTTACTTCATAAGCAGTTCCACATTTTACTTATCTCATTTTTTTTGTTGCTATTCTGGTTTGTAAGAGGTGTAATGGCATATGCAGTGGAGTTAATGAAACTGCGATTACGCATCCACGTTCGCTACCCTGGTGCTTATTGTGATGTAGAAGACGTGAAATTACTTGAACTTGAAGGATCTCACAATGTGATCAGGATACAGTGGAAACTTCGAGGTACACCAGTTTACACTTCCTTTGTGTTCTTATTTCCTAAAGTTTCTTAAATAATCCATCAGTCCTTAATTCCAAAAAGATCTTTAAATTCATGTGAAATCTTTCTGTCCTGCCATTACTTCAAAAAGAAATATTTTGCTATGTTTTGAAATACTTTGAAATAATTTGTTAAAACATCATCATAAGAGCAAAATCCATTGGTCTTACATGACAGATATTGTCTTTGAGTAGGTTATAAAGGAAATTAAAGTTTTTGGATTTTTCCATGAATGATGTCACACAATGGGGGGGGGGGGTCAGAATTTGTGATAAGGTATTATGGGGATGTCTTAATTTGTGTGACAGATTTTTGACGATGGTCAAATTATGCCATAACTTTGAGTAGGTTATAAAGGAAATTAAAGTTTTTGGATTTTTCCATGAATGATGTCACACAATGGGGGGGGGGGGTCAGAATTTGTGATAAGGTATTATGAGGATGTCTTAAATTGTGTGACAGATTTTTGACGATGGTCAAATTCTGCCATAATTTCATGACGTTATTTATGGATGGTTCCTATAACAGCTGTGACAATTTCTAATGCTGGGAATAAAATTAAATGTGTTGTCTCTTTTTTTATCAATAGGTGTTCCACAAAAGCACATCATCAAGTTCTGGAGGCTGCGAGAACCCTTCGTTCATTCTGATATTGAGTAAGTTTGTTAGAGCTGGGCGGTTATCATTACAGATAAAGAATTACTGGCCTAAATATTGCTGCATGTAAATTTAGTCAATTTTTTTAATAAGGAATAAACAGTTGGAACACAAGCGTTAGATAGAACTCTTGGTGCACACACAAATTTCTAATTATAAAATTAAATATGTTTTCCCATTTCATATTCTTGCAGATATCTAAATGGATTCTCATACTTCCACATTGGTAGTGATGGCTTGATACATAAACATAGGCTTGAAAAAGTTTCCCTGCAACGCAAAAATGAAGAGAAAATTGTAAAGAAAAAAGACCATTCAGTACCATTCTTAGGTTAATTTTATTTGGAATGGATGGTTTGGTTTTAAACTGGGTAGATGTTGGATTTCAAGTTATTAAATTATTTTTTATATAACATGGTTATGTCTATTTTGGAATTTAGTGTTGGCGATTGTAACATTTCTGAGTTGTTGTTTTTTATGTCCATAGATTCCATTGTCCATAGACACACACATGATATATTGCATTTATTGCTATTTACCTACATTATTTTACAGTCTCGACCTATTTCATTTGTAAAAAAAAAATGGAAAGTCAATGAGCAGCATTGTAATTGTATGTAATAAAAAAAAATCTTTAATGTGAATATTTTTTTTTTGTTGTTCTTCTACTCTGTTTTTTAAAATTGGTTTATGCTCTGTGCACTCCATTATCATCAGGTATTTCATGCTATATACAGTACTCTATCTTCATCATTAGGATATTTGAGTCAATATTCAGTACTGTGTACATTATAAGGGGCTATAAATATTAACAGTAGGTACTCTGTACATCATTAGGGGCTATAAACAGTACTCTGTACATCATTAGGGGCTATAAACAGTGCTGTTGGAAAAAGTTTGTCAAAATTAAGAATTTTTGAAAAGCTTTTGTTGCTTTGGCTTACTATCAACTATCTAAATTAAAATAGAGTAATGCAGTGACATTTCAATTATTCTCTATGTATAAATTGTACAGAGGAATTAATGAAATAATCCAGACACACATGGTCATGGTATGCAAAAACTGCACTTGGGACTCAGCCTGAATTAAGTTGCCCTCTTTCCCAAAAAGTTTATGATTAATATTAATACACTGACAAAATGTCTTATTTTATATGAAAAGATACCTTCAGACATGTCTCTATTTAAAAAAAAATAAAACTAGCTAGATAAGTAGATAATCATTTAAAATTTTAAAGATAATTGGCACATTTGTGTAGCATTACTTAAATGAAAAGATATGTCTTCATAAAAAAAAAAAGTAAAATGTGGTTAGCTTTGTCAAGAGGTTGTCAACAACTTATAATTTATTTATTTTAATCCTCCCCACTCCCTTGGTTGTAAATGGTCCTGAATTCAATTCCATGGACATTGACCTTGATTAGTGGGAAACACTTGCTATGGATCATACAAGCTGGCGAGTAAGACTCAGTGTTGGAATTGGAACACAATCCTCAGAGGATAAGCTAGGTGCTCACGGTAAGAGTAAGGGAAATAAGAATCGACTCAAATCGAACTAAGACCCATAACAACGTGTGTCCAACATGGAGGAAAGCTTTTCAGGTGCAGATCTGGCAAGCCACTGCGAACTCAATGCTGATTATTGTTTTGTCGTATTTGCATTTGAAGGAAGAATAATAATGGTCCTGAACAGTAATTTGACATCAAAGGAATATCAAAAAATCTGTTTATTGCCAAGTAATACTAACAAATGAAAAACTTAAGTGATATAAATTTTTATACTAAACATACATATTTAATTCTAGGGAAAAGTATTAAAGACATAGCAAAATCCTTTAAGAATTAGAAGACGCATCTCTACAAGCAGGGCTGGAAGTTAACAACCAAAAAACAAAATACATGACCATGATAAGAGAGGAACAAACAGATGGAACAATTAAAATTAGAAACCAAACTTTTGAAAAAGTAAATCAATTCAAATACCTAGGATCCTTGTTAAATGAAAGAAACGAATTACTAACAGAAATAAAAGAAAGAATATCAGCTGGAAACAGGGCATACTTCAGTAGTCAGAAAATACTCACAAGTAAAAACATTACAAGAGAAACAAAGAAAACTATTAATAAAACTGTAATCAGACCAGTTGTAACATATGCAAGTGAAACTTGGACCCTAACAAAAACAGCAGAAAACCTATTAAACACATGGGAGGGGAAAGTTCTCAGGAAAATATATGGGCCAACAAAGGATGAATATGGATGGAGAATACGAACCAACCAGGAGTTATACAGTCTATATCAGGATCCCACGATAGTGGCAGAAAGAAAAAGGGCAGGCTACGCTGGGCAGGACACCTATAGAGAATGCCAAATGACAGAAGAATGAAGAGGGTGCATCACCAATACCCCAGAAGAAAAAGGCTCAAAGGCAGACCTAGGCTTAGGTGGATAGATGATGTAGAAAAAGATCCACAGCAGCTGAAAGTCCAAGCATGGAAAAGAAAGGCATTAGTTAGGTCTGAGTGGAAGGAAGTGGTGAGGCAGGCCAAAGCCCTACATGGGCTGTAGTGCCACAGGGATGGATGGAAATATTTAATTAAAGATGAAAACAATTTGCCAAAAAAATTCAGCAAAGAGAACAGTTTTAATATAAGTACCAAAACAATAATATGGGATATGATTATATTTTTAATGGGAAAATAAAATAGGAGCGTCTTACCCCCACCTTCCCGAGTGGTGCAAGCCAACAACCACCCCCCCCCCCTTTTTTTTTTCCAGCTCAATTGTCAATAATTCTTCAAAAAAATTTAGGAAATCAAATCCAGTGATTGTTCAAAAAATGAATTTCAATAGGCCTATAACTATAATTATTTTTTAGCTTAAATTCAATTCTAAAATAAAAACAATAATATGGGATATGATTATATTTTTAATGAAAAAATAAAATAGGAGCGTCTTACCCCCACCTTCCCGAGTGGTGCAAGCTAACAACCACCCCCACCCCCTTTTTTTTTTCCAGCTCAATTGTCAATAATTCTTCAAAAAAATTTAGGAAATCAAATCCAGTGATTGTTCAAAAAATGAATTTCAATAGGCCTATAACTATGATTATTTTTTAGCTTAAATTCAATTCTAAAATTGCAATATTGTGTGGTTGGCTCGATGGCTGCGCGGTAAAATTGGTAAAATTGTGTTTTTTCTCTTTAAAAATAAAATCCTAGGCCTCGTGATTTTGTCATAATTGCCAAACATTCATTTATTTAAAAATTGAGTATTTGTATTTTTCCGATCTCATACTATTATTTTTATTACTTTGAGAAATTCAAAATCCGGCAGGGGGGGGGGGTGTTTTTGTTTTACCCCCATCCCAAGCCCCAAATGAGATTGGAATCAGCTGCCTTCCCCCACCTGCTTTATGTAAATGAAAATGTTCCTGTTATACAGTATTTATTTGTACAGGATTAAAAACTGCTGCAGTAAAAGTAAAATATAAAATATATTACGCGTTTCTTCCCTTTATCTTTTTGGAATAACACTTTTTATTAGCCTATTGTGGACATTTTTAATACTTTTCCAGGTCCATTTTTCTTTTTTCCTGACCACTCAACTTTTCACTGTGATTGATATATTTTTATCTATTGTTCTGTATTTGTCGAAAAAATAATAATTTGCTTATTTTGGAGAATTTCAGCATTATAAAAGTGTGCTAAATCATAAAATTAAGCTAGGTAAATATGCAATTCCAAAGAGTTATTTGGCATAGTCCATGAATGCTGAAAATGCAACTCTTGGTCTTGTAAAGAAAAAATTGTAAGTTCTATGAGTTCTAATGACGGAATGAATATTGACAGTTGTAAATTTTCTGATTTCTATCTCACAACTTTTGAATCACTTGAGTTGCAACATGTATTTTTCCACAAAAGAATATTAACTGTTTTTTGTGTGAGCCAGAAAACTCATGAGCAATAACTCCATTGTAAAATCTAATTAGTTACTGTATCAAATTTTGACACTCGTCATGTTGAAAATCCCATCGCATAGAGATACAATGTTAAAATAAGGAAATTATTGATATGTTCCTTTCAACTATTGTCTTATTCTTTTTGTCCTTCAATAACACATAATGAGTTTTGTGATGTAATCTGTGTTAGTCTTCTCTTGCCATCCTCTGCCTTAGGTTAGTTTTATTTCTTCCCTTTATCGATAACGTAAAACTTGATATTCATTTGCAAAGATTATAAATCCACAAATTTATTTTGTTGGTAAATTATGTTAAAATTGTTTAAGGAATTTAAATATAACAACAAAAATAATTTTGATATCTGATTAATTTTTCTCTATAAGTTGCCAGTAGTACTTTTTAATTTAATTTTGCTTTATTTTACTGCTTCCTCCGTCGTTGTTTTTTATTTTCATTTGAGCTGTGTCTGTGAGTTAATCATGTAACCTATCTTAAAAGAACTGCGACGACAGTGTCAAAAGGAAGAGTTATTTCGACCATGGCGTATCACTTTAGAAAACTCAGTCAGACATTTAGATTTATTCCTTCTTCCAAATCCATCGGATTTTCGACGAGAGTCGAAGGGGACCAAACGAAGAATGTAAGATTTAATTTTACTTTAACTTTAAATTACTTTAATTTTTTATTTTTTAGCGTTGTCAACTCCAACAATTCCAATTATGTTTATTTTAAAATAAATAAATAGCACAAGCCGCACATCGTTATTTTATTAACTGTGATTATTTTTTTTGTAAAGAATCATCTTATCTCCTTTGTGAGAACTAACTTAAAAAATATACTCCGTATTGGGTCCATATCAAAATTTTATTAAAATTAAATATCAAACAATGAAGCTACCCTAATTTCTAAGCCTAAGCTGCTAAGCAAATTAATTTTTTTTAGTGGAGGGTACAATATTAAGGCAGGCAAGTTATTAAAACAATTATGAACTACTTCATTAACTTCATGCATGATTCATTTTATTTTTTTTTTCATTATCAGTCTTGCTTAGACAGTACTCAAGTTATATCCAACTTGCCCTGCATTCAGCTCTACGACAGGGCTCTCTTGTGCCAATATGAGGATCATGGAAATGTTGTTATACCTGACACTTATGCAATCTTGAGATCACAGAGTGAATCTGATCTCCTAAGCCGCCTGCTTCCACTTCCCCTACCTCTTCATGCCACACCAGCAAAGCCTCTGCCAATTTCGTACAAAGACCTCATTCAAATTTTTCTTCCCAAGCATGCAGAGGCAACAAGCACATCCTCAAATGATATATTTACCTTCTTATCCTTGGTGAAGTCTGTGAATATAACCAGTGATGATATTCTAGTTCATCCGCAAACACACTTTGGCAAAATAATAGAAGATGAAATAAGTTCAAGGGAAAGAATGCCAGTAGATGTTCTATCTCAACATCATTATTACAATCAACAGGCCAGCCCAGCTGTTACCAATATTTTCCCTGTTACTCTAATAATGGGTAGTTATGCCCTTCTCAATCAGAGCCTTCAGACATTGAGTGCTGATAATGTTGGTCACACTTTAACTCACCTGTATTTTTCATCTGGGGGGAATCCTGAGTCATCTAAAGGTAGTGGAAAGCATGGGCCCACACGTTCTCAATTGCATGATATAAAGGAGAAACTGGAAGATCTTGTAAGTCTTTTTTGTGTATTACATTTATTGACCTAACAATATGGTGATTTTTGGATTATTAGTTTTTGTTTTAAAAAAAATGTAATTGCAATGAAATTATTCTGTAAACTTGTGTGGCGAACATGGAGGCTTTTATCTTTATCTGATAGAGAAATAAATGACTTTCTATTCTTTTGTATGTGCAGGTGTCCAAACTCTTCAAAGGCCAACACAACTATGAGATTCTACATAAAAATGTTACATTAGAGAACAACTTGTTTGGTGATAATAAAATATGCATGTAAGTAATGTAAGTTTTTTGTTTGAAAAAAAAGAAGAAAAACACTGTTTGAGAGCTGTTTAAAAACACATTTTGAGAGCTTTTTAAGAAGATTAGTTTACTGTAGAGTGTATTTTTTCAGCTATTTTTCTAATAACGCAACATGTCCACTAAAAGGTTGCACTGAAGGAGCTAGTGGTTACTGCATGTACAAATACATATCTAGATTTTACCTAAATGGTATATAAGGGGTTGACATTGTTGGTGTTTATATGCCAATTCTTCATGCCAGGCACATGTGTATGATTAAATTTTTTAAAAGGACAGGGCAATTGCGGGAGTTCGATGCTCTACTGTATAATTATGGAGTTTTATATGTCATTGTAATATTGTAAATAAAGTTTGAAACAAAAATGTAATATGAAGACTAAAACAGATATGTAAATTGGAAACATAAAAAATTTAAATTATTACGTCAAAGTTAGGTTAAGACTGTAAATTATATTACTTATTGTTTTGTTTTTTTATTCTCCAGAGGTATGACAGCATACAAGCTTGAATTATGGAAACTACGACTACGAATTAATGCACAGTATTTTAGTACAGCAATGGAAATCTTGAGTGTCACAACCTTGGAACAGACCGGTGTGATTCGAATACATTGGAGGCTTAAAGGTCTGACTATAAGATTGGTGCATTCCTTAAACTTTCATGACATAAAGCTTCTTAGTTGTTATTTTAACACTGTATTTATTTAGAAGGGGAAGCATTAAGTTAGGAATAATGCATATGGTAATACAGACCTGCCAACCCTTCTGATTTCGTCAGAATTATACAGATTTTTACCCCTTATTCCGACCTTCCAACAAACTCCTTAAAATTCAGATTTTTCTAACTATATAATTTTTCACCCTACATAAAAATCCAAAAGGGACAACAAACAAAAATCGGGTACGACAGAAAGTGTTGCATTTGTTTTTACGAAGTGTCTAAATGTCCAGCGACCGGATGAATAAGTGAACAAATTCTCGAGATATTTGTCCGGCTAGTGTTTATTAGACCAACTCACATGACCACCGTAACAGCATTGCGCGAGATATTTGTCCGTCAGCCTTGTCATGTGACCACTAATTGTCGATCAGAGTTTACGGTACTTCATTCAACAAATTCAAGATAGTCTAGACATTTACAAGAAAAAGAAACATGTTCAATTATAAAAAGGAAATACTAAAACCGTATATAATGAACAATTGGTCCAAAAGTGACAATGTGGCATGCCCGCCGGATAAATATCTCCCGCACTATTTGTCCGGTCGCCTGGCGTGTAGACACTGCATTGTTTTCATCAAAGCGAACCGCGATCTTCAAATCATTCTTCAATCATTAATTGATCCGATCGCGATTAATCCTTTTTACTAGGCTAAATAATTATTCAGACTTTTTTTGTTTGTTTAAGCTTTTCTTAATTAAATGATTAAATCTATTGAAAGTGATGGGTACAATGGTATTAATAAACATTGAAGGAAATATTTCTCTAGCCCTAGCCAACTCCGATGCCGATCGTTTAATTTTAATGCCAGAGTCAAAGAAACTTTTCCAGACTACAGAATGCTAGAAGATTGTAAAGAAAAATTACAATGAAACAAAGGCAAGCATGAAAGTTTATACTTTTTCTAACTTGCTTGTAACTAAAATCAACTGCAATGCTAACCTTCAGTTGTGCAAAGAGCTGTTGGACAAGTGCAAAAAGGCCAGTATCACTAGTCACTAGGGATATGCTAGAATACTGAACTCTTACTAAGATTAAGAGTCTTAGCAGCCCTTGTGTGTACATATGTAAATTAAATGGATCTTCTGTACTGTATATATCTGTATATAAACATTTCCAGTAATGTTTACCTCATGTTCTGTGGTGTTCTTTGGACCCTTCAAAGACAATGGCACAATGGAGGTAACTTAATATTTCTTTATTTACTAAAAAAAAGGCGTGTGCATTAGTATATATTATATAGATCTTAAAACCCCCCCCACGAAGCGCCTCCCCGGGGCGGCCCCACTTCCCCCCCTGCGTGCAACCCCCCCTACAGATTTTTTTTTCTTGGCAGGTCTGGTAATATAAAAAAAAAAGAGAATAGTTTCCAAATTCTGTTTCAATTAATCTGTTTTAGTATTACTATTAGTGAATTTATTGGTTGTCATTGGTCTCTCCTCAGTACATTTTCGTAACTGTTTTTGAGGTTTTGAAGATATGTTTTTGTCAGAAGTTATATGTCAATAATGTGTTTTATTTGAAGGTCTACCACAAGTGCAGAATCTTAAGTTCTGGCGACTGTTTCAAAGTAACAAGACTATAGCAAAGGAAGACTGGGAGTAAGTGGACTATGGAGTTTTGTTGTTGTTATCATAATGGCTTGTAAGGTTATAATCTTATTTTAAAAGTCCAAGTCAGTAAGGGAAAGCTTATGTTATGATAAATTAATGGACTTTAAATATAACTCGGTGTACATTTTTCCTGTGCTATAAAATTTTTTTAAAGTGTTTATTACACTGTGTCTGTACCTCCATGTCAAAATTCTGATTTCCTTGTGAGACCTTTGATATGAAAAGATGGTTTGATGTTCTTTAATTTCATTATTCTTTCTTTCTTGATAGATGGCTTGAAGCATTTTCATACTTTCACATTGGCAAGGATGGCCTTGTACACAAACACAGAATTGACAGGGTGAGTGGTAACTACCCACTTAAGTCTGTTCCATTTGTGGGCTGGCTTGTTTTCCGAATTCCAATTACATTTTTCTGGCACAGGAAACTCATGAATGATAGATCTTCAACTCACTGGCTTAGATGTAAATTTTATATTATTGTGTTAACTATAAAGAGATTGTCAACCTTAATGTATTTGGGAAAATTTGTAAAAACCTTGTGGGTGACAAACTGTGTGCATGAAATAGATTTTACACTTAAAGGTATTTTTACCCTGTAAATATCTTGTGTAAAAAGTCCATAACTGTGTTTTGTATTAATTTAATCTTATATGACCTTCAATGGTCACTCTTCATGTATCTTTAATCTTATATGACCTTCAATGGTCACTCTTCATGTATCTTTGATTAAGCACTATGCCTTGATTTTTGAGACAACATAGTATGTTCCCCAAACTCTCTACTGGTATGTGAGACAACATAGTATGTTCCCCAATCTCTCTACTGGTATGTGAGACAACATAGTAAGTTCCCCAAACTCTCTATTGGTATGTGAGAGAGTTTTGCATCATAGAATTGGTAACTTTAACTTGCATCTTTTAAGACTCACCACCTCCTGGTCTATATTTTCTGTGTCTCAATACTGTCGTCCCACAGCTTCTCTCTAAGTCTATAGCCTTTTTTTTTAACCAATATAACATGAATTCAATAAAAAGTGGATCAAGATAGTGAACATGATACGGCGCACGCTCGGTTGTCAGTATTCAAATTACATGGTATGGAATCAAGATGTGTGTATTTGAGCATTTCCAGGGGGTCTAATAATGTTAAAAACCATATTTAGAGGGCCGTGAACAATGATAATCTTCAATTTATAAATAAACAATTCTACTTCGTGGAAAGTCACGTATCAAGGTGGAGTCTGGAACTGATTAACTGCAATTAACAAGGGACAAATGTACCATATATATATATATATAAAATTGAACTTCAGAACTATAAAAAAAAAAACTTTTCTGTATTCTTATGTTTCTAGATGATTCCAGACAATGAGATGGAGTCTGGCAAACTCACCGACAAACTGAGGGGACTTCTAAACCCAGCAAAACCTTTGGTCAGTTGATCATATTAGAGCTACGAACTCAACTTTAACAGATGACCTTTAATGGGCATGAGATACGTCGTCATTAAGATGAGAATATTTGTTGGTTTTGCACCAAAAGGACACCACCCTTGTTACATCAAAATTAATTTTTTTCTAATGCTATTTATTAGATTATTCAATTATCATGAAAACTGGAAACCCGTTTCTATTTTCAAAATAGTCCAATGTTAACACCAACATTCATGTGTGATTTATCTTATATTTTAATTTGATTCAGTTTTTAAAGGTGTCTTTAATGTATTGACGTGTCACATGTACCAATGTGATAATCAGTGGACAAGAGTTTGTTTTTTTAAGTAAGGTATCAAATATTTAGACCAAAACAACAATAGTAAACTGTTGTGTGCACGCAGTTGTCCTGGGATGTCAACTAGAGGGCTTCGTATACCTGTAGATACCTGTAATTTTCATGATTATTAAAACATATGTAGATGGTTTTTTTATTTACTAACAGTATGTTCTAGAATCACTGTATGCACAGAGTAGATTGTCTGACAAGTGAAAATTGCCTATTGTGTTTTATTATAATCAAGTTGACTTGACTAATCAAGGCAAGAAGTATTCATTCTCACTGTTTAACTTGGACTGTGTTTGATGATAAACAGTTTGTGAAGCTTTTTAATAAAGATAATCAAATTTTCTTTTAAATAGGTCGTCACTTAAATAATTGAACACCATTTTAATAGTGATCTTCAATTATTAATAAATGAACACCATTTCAATACTACCCCCATTAATGATGTTTTATATATGGCGATATTAGTTCTGTTTTACAACATGTGTGTCATTACTTGTTCATCTGTGTCAGGTACATGTGTGTCATTACTTGTTCATCTCGTTCAGGTACAACATGTGTCATTACTTGTTCATCGGTCGGGTACAACATGTGTGTCATTTCTTGTTCATCTCTGTCAGGTACAACATGTGTGTCAGTACTTGTTCATCTCTGTCAGGTACAACATGTGTGTCAGTACTTGTTCATCTCTGTCAGGTACATGTGTCATTACTTGTTCATCTCTGTCAGGTATAACATGTGTCATTACTTGTTCATCTCTGTCAGGTACATGTCTGTCATTACTTGTTCATCTCTGTCAGGTACATGTCTGTCATTACTTGTTCATCTCTGTCAGGTACAACATGTGTGTCATTACTTGATTATCCCTTTATTGCTTGCAGTTACATAATCTGCAGGAAGTGTGATTTATGATGTGAAATTTCTACACAGATTATTTTATTGATTGACTAGTCTTTCATGGAGCCATTAGTTATACATGCTGTACATTTGAGTTCTTCTCCAGTTAGTGAGTCTGATTCCTCCAGTTAGTGAGTCTGATGTGAATATTTCATCAAATCAGAGCTTGAACTTGAATACTTTTAGCGTTCCCATGTGACTGAACTGAAATGAGAATTGTTCTGAGATATTTTGTTTACAAGCTGTTGCCATAGTATCTCTGTATTTGATTATAAACTGTGCAATCTTGTGACAAATGTTCAGAACACTATTAAAATTAGCCAGTCATAATAATTGTGTAATGAACATTTTGTGGTTTTACTTTGTATTTTTTGTTGCAAAAATATTTTCCTAGAAATATTAGGCCACAAACTAATATAATAATGAAGTAGTTTGGAAAAAAAATCTGAAGAGAACGTGGATAAATTCAGTGCTTTGAAAGTCCTCTTAGCCAACCACACACAACAGTACATTCTCATCCCTTGGCTGTTGCCTCCATTAGTAGCAGTCAATATTTGAATGTAGGATGTGGACACTTTAAGAGTACGCTTGCAACTGTCTCCTTGACTCATCCTGATGTTTGATGAGCTTTGCCATCATTGTGATAAAAAACAACAACTTATCAATCACTTGAGACTACAAATATGATTATATTTCCAATCGTTTTAAATATGTCTGAACATTGTTAATTTGGAAGAGGAAAGGGACATTTTCACCAACAATGGTTCTCAATGTAATAAGAGACCCATTACATGACATGTTTGATCTTGGGGGGGTTATAAGTTATAGAGTAATAATGATGTGATAAAAAAAACAACTTATCAATCACTTGAGACTACAAATATGATTAAATTTCAAATTGTTTTAATTATATGTCTGAACACTGTTAATGTCGAAGAGGAAAGGGACAATTTCACCAACAATGGTTCTCAATGTAATAAGAGACCCATTACATGGCATGTTTGATCTTGGGGTTATAAGTTATAGAGTAATAATGGGGGGGGGGGGGGGGTTTCATTTAACAAAACCAGTCACAGTCATATGTATAAATAAATATATGACATGTGACAGATCATACTTTTAAATTAATGCACTACTTTGAAAAGTGCAAGCAGCAAGGATAGATAATATTATGGTATTATGATTTACAGTAGCAATGTAAATTATACTTGATGGTTTCTATCAAATAAATAAATAATGCAACAGAAAGAAATATAGCTATTCCGTTTTAATGCACCTGTTACTTAAATGTTACAAGATCCAACAGAATTAAGGAGTAGCATTAATTTCCTACATTTCCATTGTTCATGAAAATCCATATGAAATTAAGATTGGATTACCCCAAGCGCATTATAAATACTTGTTTTTAAAAAAAGTAATACTAACAACAGCTCATTAATATTAACGGAATAATCTACAATACCTTTCTCTTTATCAAGTTAACAGAATTTTCTAGATTAAATTTTAAAAAATTATTCTCTAGATCAAGTTAACAAAATCTTCACAATGAAAACAAAAAAATACAAAATATCTTACTTGATAAAATGCAATGGGTCATCACAGCTTGAAGAAAACAATTATTTTTATAATGTAAAAAAAAGCATTGAAAAAAGCAAAAGTTTACCAAATAAAACATTTTCAACAACAAGAAAACCAAATCTATAACAGTACTGGCCTTGCAGATCCTTTTTAAACAAGTAGTTAGGATGATATAATGATCAAAGAAAAATCAATTTAAAATAACCGACCCACCCCTAGACCCCTATTTGAAACCATTCATTATCTTTTATATTGTGGAGGGCTCCAGGTGAACTTAATGCATCAAGGCATACTACTTCAGCATGAAATTTCAGATCAGGTATAAAGGACTTATTATTTTTGCATACATAAAAATGGATGCTGTAACAAAAATATGCACCTGATAGTTTTTTAAGGACAACAAAACACAAGAGCTTCAACTTAAAAAAAATAATTTAAGAACCATTTCAAAAAGTATCTTTTTTTTATAAAATGTTTTTAAAAAAAAGGAAATGCCAGATTTGTTAAAATATAATTATCAATGGTGACTTCTGACAAATTGGATCAAAAGGCTCAAGAAAAGGCAGATTTTCATGCTGTCTTGATCCCATAAATAGAAAATAGTCTTACACTGCACAACACATCATAAATTCAATAATAATTTAAAAGTATACATTTTCTTCATGTTATTTTTTAAAAAAATAATTAAAGGAGCTATATTTTGTTAATTCACATAATTTTAGTTTTGGCATGCAAAGATTTATCACATCACCACACAAAAAGGAAATGTCATTCAATTTATATAATCTCAGTACAAATTTGTAAAAAATATATCAACTGTCATTTACTTGGTTCTTAGTTTATCTGGTAAAAAGATTTCTTAATTTAATTTTGTTGAAAGCTGCATTTAGTGTGAATTAATTAATTTTAATGTTTACTTTAATAATGCAAATTCATCACTTTTATAAGTTAGTACCTAACAGCCTATCTTCTGTTGGATTAATAAATGTTAAAATATTTTTTTTTTTTACATATCCATATCATCCAATGGAAGCAAGATTCTCATCAATTAAGTTTTAAAAAGCACAGTTAATTCAATAAAATATATTCAGAAAATATTATGTTTCAGTGATTTGTTTCAAAACTACAAGAAGATAAGGAGTCGGTGTAGGATAAAAGATAACACAACATGAATAGATCTGATAAGTGAACATTCACTCACTATCCTCAGCTATTCAAGCTACCTCAGCATCTCCAGTTTCACACAGCAGACATATATCATTTAGCACTGCCTTGATCACCCACAATGCAATGTAGACATTTTAAAAGTATCATCACATAAAAACATTTGTTGCAAGAATGGCAAATCAGCCAAAAACTGATTTTTTTGAGATATGCAAAAAAAAAAAATAATTTAATAGTGAAGTAAATTTTTTTTTAAATGCCATTTTTCGTATTTGATATTTTGAGTCACAACAATACCAACATACAAATAGAAGGACATTTTAAACAGTAGAAAATTTAAAAAAAAAAAAAAAAGTTTCTCAATGAAAATTGTTTCTAATTTTACTTACATTCATCATTTAACATGTTTTAAGAATCAAGAATTAAAATAAAACCAACTCTGACAATTTTTTATACTTCAAATTGTTAGAATATTTGTATTTATTTTAAATCTGGATAACTTCAAATATTCCTTTGTGTTCTAGCTGGATTAAGAGAATAGTTTCAATACAATTATCCTTATATTACAGATCTATTTTTAAACCAGAACTTCAAAGGACAATGAGGATTACAAATACATATTTGAATTACGAACAAATTGATGCCATATACATTTACTGATGTCTGTTTGGCAATTGTTTAACTACGAGTTCATTCATTTCTTCTATACACTGCATAGATGTCACCAACTCACCAGTATGAAATAGATGGTAATGTTAAGTACCTTTAGAAAATATTGACTGTGCTGTCACTGACTCTTATGTACCCACTCTACACTATGTTGTCTATATTGCTTACAAAGTAGTACAGTCAGAGCTAAGGTGTACATAATGATTGGACACGTGATACAGTTCATACTGAGATGTTCATACTGGGCACAGAATCGTACAGTTAGCAGTAAGGTCCAGGTGTAACCTTGCAGGTGAAATTGTTGCCAAATAGAATTGTAAACAGATTCTATGTGCGTATTCCAGGTAACAAGATTACCTTACAAGCCAAGCAGTCAACAATGCAGGACTAAACGCCTGGGGGAGTTAATGATATAGACATAAAAAAAGGGTTGGCTACCAGGGGCTTTCTCAGAAGCTACATGAACACACTTACTGGCAGCCATTACGGTTGCCTTCACAATAAAAATATTGGTATGGACGCATCAGCTTTTCATATATCTAGCTAATGATAACCAAATGTGACTATGGCAGTGTAGCAGTGTACTATGCATGTTATTAGAATGGTTAAAGTTCCAACTGCATTCTGTCAATTTTAAAAATCATTAACTTTAAAAAATAAAAGTAAGTTACTTTGATACTTGATATAAGGCTGGCAAGGTTGGAATTATTTTAATAAAGCTATACAAGCTTACATTTTATAAACTATCCACATCCATATGGATGCTATTTATACCGGTTTCTAAATCTCTATTGTCAAGTGATAAATGAGTCTGACCCAAGGCCACCTGACCGTTGTCTCCATCAGGTGCTCCCATCTCAAAGTCCATTGACTGCACCGGGGCTGAAGTGGCAGAATCCACCAAGATCTGTTGTGTGGTGGAAAGTGGGGGGGAGGTGCTCGGTGAAGAGGAGGATGCCATCCTGGGTTGTACAGCCGCCACAAGTTGAGCAGATGACAACCTTGAGGCTTGGGTTGGTCTCTGTGGCAGCGGGTTGTTTCCGAGTGGCCGGCTGCCAATGCCGCCTGACACCGGAAAAGCTGCCACAGCTCCGATGAGGTGGGTCTGCTGTGGTGCTACAGTTGCAGTGGATGTGGTGGTCACAACAGGTGCTTGGGTGTGCGGCATCACAGGATGAGAAGGGATTTTATCCACTTTGCCACCGTCAATGTGAAACGCTGGGGCCACCCAAGCTCCACAAGGACATTTTTCCCCTGATTTAGAGGGAAATATTCAAAGAAAAGAAATGAATATATTCTTTCTTGACAAACTTTACACATCATTAAATTTTAAATGTCCCATTCTCAAAATTGGACTTAAATTCTTTGGCTACGGAAATGAAGAATAGAAGAAAAAAAACATCAAAGTAGCAACTGACAAAATAAAATGTTACTGTTACTTAGTAAGCATTTTAAGAAGTCAGTAAATAAAAACATATCATTTCAACAACTTTCATTAGCAACATTAAGCCATTAGAATTGATATTTTGTCCTGCAGTTATCTTACACTAACAAATAGTAATAGGTATTATTATATTAATGAAAAAGCCCATTCAGCACAATGTCGTACACTGGCTACATTCTATCCATAGAATCTACTCACCAAACCAAACATAGGAACCAATCTTAATATCACACTTTGGGCAATGTAGCTGAGGAGATATTAGACTTTGGTTACCGGTAATTTAACAGAGAAAATTAAGCAGATTTGTCAAACATACAGAAGAGAACATTGATATCCTGTCTAGAAAAAAAAGTTTCTTTTAAATAATATTTACATTTAGAGTAATACTTTTAAAAACTATTTACACTCTTCTTCTTCTTCTATATCTTAAGGGCCCACGATCAATTTATTGATCATTTTGGCTCCTATGCATGTAGATGGGATTTGCAATGTTTCTGTTACTGGTGGTGATGAGGAAATTATGCACTAGGGGTTTGAAGGCTTGAGGCAATAGACACAAATGCGTCTAGTGTTGTCGCCTCAACTGTTCCTTTTGAAAGATGGTTCCAGTCCCTGATTGTCTTGGGCAGGAATGAGCAGCTCCTATACTGGCTTCTTGCTGGTATGAGCCTGAATTGCCTGTCATGGCCTCGTCGCTGTCTATGGGGGAGAGGGACGAGTTTCTGTTTAATACTGGAACAGTGGACCAGCCCATTATTTATCTTGTACATCATGGAGAGCCTGGATTGTCGTCGTCGTTTCTCCAATGGTGACCAGCCTAGTGTTTCTAGCATGCTGCCAACACTAGAGGTATTCCTGTAGCGGTTTAGGACAAAGCGTGCTGCTCGTCGCTGGACCGCCTCCAACCTGTCAATGCTCTTCTGGGTAAATGGGTCCCAGACTGAAGATGCATAATCTAAAATCGGACGGATAAAGGCTTTATATGCTCTTTCTTTCACACAGGAGTTGCCAATCTTTAGATTTCGCCTTAAGAACCCCAAGGCTTGGTTTGCTTGGTTACATACATTGTTAATATGCTCGTCCCAGCGGACCTCTCTTTGAATGGTAACACCCAGGTACTTTACGGAGGAAACTTGCTCAAGAATATGGCCGTGCAGTTTGTATTGGTAGTGTAGAGGAGTACAACTTCTAGAGATTGATAGTGTCTGGCACTTGGCAGGGTGAAATTCCATGTCCCAGCTCATCTCCCACTCAGCTAACAGATTGAGATCCTGTTGTAGCTGGTCCTGGTCAGATCTGTTGGCGATCGTCCTATACACTGCTGTGTCATCTGCAAACAGTCTTGCCTGTGATGTCAGTTTCTCCGGTAGGTCATTAATGTATGCTAGGAACAAACAGGGGCCCAGGACTGATCCCTGGGGGACCCCTGACTTCACATTGACAAAGGAGGAGCTTGTACCGCCCACCACTACTGCTTGGCGTCGGTGGCTGAGGAAGCTAGAGATCCATGTTTTAGTGGTGCCTTGAATCCCATATATCTGGAGTTTGTGTAGAAGCAAACTATGATTCACCCGGTCAAATGCTTTTGCGAAGTCCATTACTAGCACTCGAATTGATTCTTTAAACTATTTCCACTAAAAGTAATGCTTTTAAAAAATAGAAATTTTGTGAACAGAAATAAAAAGAATAGATTATAGATAATAAGAATATGTAAGTTACCATAGGGCCAATGTGACCATTCAAGTTTGCCTTACCAAACCCTAAACACTATTGATTGTGAACATTCAAGTTAGTCTCACCTTGCCCTGAACAATATTGATCTTCCCCTTCATCCACGTCAGAGGGTCAACAAACAAAGATCTCTGACATACAGAGTCACCGCCAGCAGCATTGGTTGGACGTTTATTGGCAGGCACCTTACTCCTCCAGTCAAAGGCGGAGTCGCCTTGACCTATATTGTGTGAGGTCAGTGCTCCATCATGGAATAAAAACATTCTATGCAAAGAAAAAAATAACACAGATATAAATAGAATATCCAGAGACCCAAACTGATAGATACATACATATATATTTATATTAAAAAAATGTTCTTCATTTTAAAAGAAAAATATTATTTCAATGAGGAGGAATTGGCCCTCACTTCAAGTAAACCGACATTTTTTTTAAGCTCTCCCCCCAAAAACTGCTTTACAAGGGCCATTTATGTATCTAACAGTTCAGTAGAAATGTTGATTGCATTACAGTGGGTTAAGTTTTATTTTTTTAAAATTCTGAACAATGGTAAACTGGTGTAAATTTTGTTTTTTAAACTCCATCCCGAAGCTATGATTAACATGTTTTGGCGGCATCTCACCTACACTTACGGCACTTGTAGTAGGCATCATTTCCTTTGGCTGAGTAATCAGGCTGGACGTAAACCTCAGAGGGTATTTCTGGGTCACCTGCATCATAGCGATAGAACAATTCAAAATGATATAACAACCCCTAGCGATGAAACAATACCTATTGATAGAACAATTGAAATTGATATAACAATCCATAGTGATGGAACAATGCATATTGTTAGAGCAATTCATTGTGACAGTTTCAATTTGAAGCTTCAAGAAACCCTTTCTATGTGAGCAGCTGAAACCAAACTTTTTTTATAGTAAATTTTTTTTTAACCCAAATGTAATCAATCTGTAAATTTGTTAAACAAACTGTTAAGATGAAATTTTTAAAAAATGTATCGAATTAGAATAGATGAAACAAATCAAAATACATCAGATGAAAAACAGGGAGACAACTGTCATTTATTTTTAAAAGCTTTAATTATTTTATATCAAATCTTTTAGCAACTCTTGAAACAAAAAGATCAAATTAAATTAAAGCGATTAATGAAACAAGACCCAACAGGTTGACGTCATCTACTGCAAGATGGCAAGTGAAATCATTCAATGAATCATTAGCGAAAACTATTGAAGTAGTTTCCTAATTGGCAGATGAAGCAGGTGGTGCTCAAAGCGTTAACAAGAATTACATTTTTTAAATGTATTTTGATTTGCATCCAACTTTAACAAAAAAAAACACAACAGATTTACCTTGTGAAAACTGTCCACATTTGAAGCGTACGGCTAGTTTGCTCAGCTGGTATGCCCTATATTCACTATGTGTCTTGTCTATTCTGCACCCCATATTTTCAAACAATTGCAGCTGCTCTTGAAAACCATCATTGGGTCTAGCAACAATAACAAAGTTATTCATAGTCATAGACTCTAAAGATGATATCTTTAATTTTAAATTGATTTAGTGGAAATTAAAGATTGATAAGGAAAAAAATTCTATAACATTCTCATATTGGCAAAATTATTTAGGAACCTCCTTCTAGAGAGCATTTAAGTTATTTCCCAATAAATCAGTTTCCATATATAATTTAGCTTGACTCCCCATTTCTATTCAACATGACCCAACGCAACAAAATTGGTTTGTAAACTCACCTCACAAACTGTCTAGCAGCAGCTACTATTTCCAGGGCCCTGACTTTGGATATGACATGCTTCTGCATAATGTATGCTACTACAATTGTTGCACTCCTTGATATACCTGCTTGACTAAAGACAAGAAAATCATTAATATGAACTATTTTCAAATTAAAAGTCTTCTTTTGCTTTGTTGAACAAATGAACACAAGACCAAAAGCTATCAAAGGAGAAGGTTACAAACCCATCAAGGTACAGGGGTAGTAATTTCTATGGGTACCACTCTAAATGAACTTAATTTTACTTCAGTGGACATCATATAGCAATATGTAAGTTAAGCAAATCAGCACATCTACACCTCAGTCCTAATTTAAAACTGGAGCATGGTTATGGGTGAGGAAGGGATTGAGGGGATGATAATTGGCTTGTGACTTACAGTGTTTCTCACTACCGTACATGAAATCAAATTCATAAGTAAGCTTTTTGTTTTTACAATTTTAATATAAGCCAGAAAATATAAATTGTTCTCATCTAAAATAGTCAATGATGCGATTGCTTCCTTGATCTATTTTTCTATTTTATTTTAACTTATACACTCAATAGACATTTCTACTTCAATGGTAAAAAAGGTAAAATTAGTGACTTTTTGCTTTGGCAACTTGATTAAAATTAATTAATTTTTTTAATGGATTTTGAAATATTTCAAAATTCCTATATTTTAGCTATAAGCCAAGGTATAGATATTTATATACAACAAAACTATTTTGATTCTCAACATAAAAATAAATATTTAAATTTAGATTTAAAAAAAATAAATATGTAAATTTAGATTTTAAAAAAATATATTCTATTAAAAAAGAAAGGCAAACTAAAATAATTACTGATGGAATATATATTTTTTCTGTTTTAGGTAGGATATGTATATTGATATTTTGTAAATTTAATTTATACTTATTTAAATGTGTTTTGTTTGTTTGTACTGATGAAGGCATGTGCCGAAACGTTTAATTGTGTATAATGTATAATTATTATTAAAGCAGAACTTATATTGTTATATTGACACAATTTGTTCGTGTCTTCTTAATCTTACTGATGGGAACTTGGCGTCACAGCTACTTCTTTTAAATACTTTTATTACAAGTACTACTTTTTTAAAATAGCCTTTTTAAATATTTACAAACTTTAAAACTTTCCTATTACTATTAGTGTTTACTTCGTAACAAAACTTCTAGCCCAAATAAAGGAAATGATTGTGTCTTTTTTACCAATGAACTAATACAGCGCCTCCATTCTCCCGGGCCTGGTCAATAAATGTAAAACATTCAGGGAATAACTCCAGTAAATCAAAGTCGTACAGATCCAGTGCAAAAATATGTTTATAGGTACATTTATTAGTCAACATTTCTGGCAGTGGCTTTTCATCAATGGACAAGATGTGGGTCACTTTTTTTACTTGTAAGTCTCTTTCATTTAAGGCAGCCATGACACCACCCAAGTACAGCCCTTCAATAATGCAGTCAGAGGTCTCCATGATAAAAAGTAATCTCGTTCAAGTGTCAGTGGGTGGTTGCATCAAACTCCTGAAAGGCTCCTGGACCAGATGAGTAAAAGAAGGTTGGTATTTGCTCTCAAAACCAATCTACTCTGTAAATAGAAAAAAAACCTAGATAATGTATATATCAATAATCATATAGACAAATAAGGGAACTGTGTCATGTGATAAATTTAACGAAGTGACAGGGTGGGGCAAATTGTGCCCTAGGCGTAAGCATTTGTTATTGTGGAGATCTGCGTGTGCAATACAATCGACACTTCCTGTTTCCCCGATTTTGACAAAAACACCAAGTTTACACCAGCAACATTTGTAAAATAATTTTTCTTTCTTTCTTCCTTTTAACACTTTCCAATTGTCACCAGTTCAACATGAAATTAATTTAATGGCTAAAAATATTTCAGGAAGGGGGTGACAGCAGGTTGTTGACACTACTTGCCGCGTATCTAGAATCTAGAGGAATACAATTAAGTTCCTATGATTGACATGAATTTAATTTATCCCCTGAAATTATATCAGGAAAGGGGATGACCGCAGGTTGTTGTCACATCTTGCCTCTTTCTAGAGCAGCGATTATCAACCTGTGGGTTGCGACCCCTGTGGGGGTCGTACGACCCTTCCCCAGGGGTCGCCTGAGACCATCTGAAAACACATATGCTCTACAGTTATGAAGCAGCAACGAAAATACTTTTGTGGCTGGGGGTCGCCAAAACATGAGGAGCTTTATTAAAAGGGTCGTGGCATTACGAAGGTTGAGAGAAACTGATCTAGAGAAATAAAATAAAGTTGCTAAATTCGCCAAAAATTTTTATATGAGCTAGGAGGCATTGCATAGTGTATTAATTGAGCTTAGTGTGCTCTAGCCATCACGTAAAATGCTAAGGGCGTCTTCCCCTAGTCTACCCATCATCGGCCTAAATTTAATACAGAGAGCAGTTTCCAAAATTTAAAAAAATCTTACAACACTTAACATACTTAACTAATTGCTAAAATTCTTTGACACACTTACATCATTTGCCCCCCCCCCATCCCTTTCCCCGTAATGAATTTGGAGGTTCTATTTAAATTGCTATGTACTGTAGCGCCTCCAGTAATAAACAACTTAACAAGTGTCTAGACTAGGCTATATTTCAAAACTGATTTATTTTATATTGTATGTAAGTAGTAGAATTAGGCTACTAACTACCAGTTAAACAGCCAATTCTTAAATATCTTATTCATTCCATAAACCTATTTTTATAATAATCATTATCAGATAGTTTACTATGATTCTTTTTTACCACAGACTAGGTTACAAGTACTTTAGTACTACTTATTGCGTGGCACGTAGCACACACCCCATTTCTGTAACTGTAAGATACATTTATGAATTTAAAGGTTAATTTGGTTTATTTTATAAAATGTGCAGCCATTTACTACCAAGGTCTGTAGAAGATAGTCCTAGCCTAAAGAACAATAAAGGCAGAGGTACTCCTCAAAAGGGCGGTCCCATATTAAAATAGAATATTTCGTTAGAAAGTGTCCAGCTCCAGCCTAATAAGTAATAGCCACCGATAATTGGTGACATAATTTTTTACTCCAAATTTTATTTGCAGACTAATTATTGCTTGTAATAATATAAAATAAACAACAATTTTTGTCAGGAAACATTCTACAAACCTATGACACAATGCCGAAAACAATCTAAGAGTATCATCTAGTATCTAGACCTAGATGAATTATAATATATGCTTTGAGTGCAGCTTGCTGAACACTGGTTTATATTATATAAAACAGTAATTCAACAGAGATAACTTTTGTTTCTCTCTTTTTCTTCTTCTTTTTTTTTTTATTTCAGGGGATGATGAAGACTTCAGAAGAAGAGTGAAAATCAGGATCTTTAAGTTTTAAAAAATTAATTAATTTATATTATAATATAAGTCACCAATTATCAGTGGTTATTACTAATAACTATTAGGCTGGTAGCCGGACACTTTCTGACGAATAGACTGAATAGTATATTTTTTATTTGGGACCGCGGAGTGCAAAGAATGGCCAAGATATAATTATAGTGGGTTCCAGTTCCAGTCTGAGTGAGTGGCAGCCAGCACAATCACTAAGTTGTAATTTTTCCAGCTGGTGATTTTTCGCTACGCTTTAATCTTGACATGTTTTTTCTACTGCTCTAAAAGTAAATGGTGATTTGTTCAATTTATCCATTTCGATAACTTTTACAATGGACTAAGATTTAAAAGTATAAGCAAACTGATTAGCATGCACCATTTGTTTACCTCATTTAACACGACATGCTTATGCGGACATTTGTGTAGTTATTTGCGGCTATTTCCGAGTCTTACGCCTAGTCTTCTGTTCCATCCTATTTAATTTGTGAGCTGAGCCTGAAACGATAGTCAGACAGCACAAAGTGAAGTAAATTTAAAGGGCCTACATCATGTTCATTTATCAGTCCTATTCTTCATCAATTATTACCTACAGAATATTAGAAATTATATAGATTATTAATATTATTTTATTATTAATTTATTTCCATAGACTTGAACTTAAATTAAGCTCGTAAAGAAGGGACTGATTATCAAATTGGACTTTTAAATGACTTCTTCACATGATTTTTTTTTTTTTTTTTTTTTTTTTTTTTTTTGTTGCTCACTCATCATAAAAGTCATCCGGTAATCAAATAAAATGTAGCCTAACTTCCAAAACTCTTGCCCACTATTGTAGTTAATCATAGTGTGGCGTTCACGATTATTTTCAACACTGATCAGATGTAGCAGAATCTTTCCTTTCAAACAACTTGAACGCATTCTCAATATTAATTATTATGCATTAAACTTTGATACTTGACTACTATTATTTTATATTAGCCTAATTAAGAGAGGTCACAGAAGTTGGTGTCCCCTGGTGCAGTTAAGTCATGGTGTCACCCCCACCTCTTTCCAGATTCCCCCCGCCCACCCCCACCCGGGTCCTGCACTCAGTAATTCTTAACCAGATCATACCAAACTGCTTATATTTTTATTTGTAAATTAAGTCCTGAAGCAAAAAAAAAAAAGAGATAAAAGAGATAAAAGAAAAATAGATATATATATATATATATATATATATATATATATATATATATAATTTGAAATAACAGTGTTAAAAATGGCAAATAAAAAAACAACTTTTTTATTCAAACATTAAACATCACAGTTAATACTTTACTTTTCTGGACTTCAAAGATGCAAACATGTCAATAACTTCATCAAAATCAACATTCTTCACCGTATCATTTTCCCTGGACAAAATCACAAGATCTGTAGGCCTGAACTGTCTCATATTCTATCGCAGCTTTTTTTTTTTATGCTTCCATTTTTTTAAATTTTTATTCCTCTCACATAAAGCCACAGACACAGATCGTAATAAAAATATTTATAGGCTCAATGAGAGGATTGAGAGAGATTAGGCTATATAAGTAGCAGTCAGCTATTAATTTAAAAACTTCAAATGCTTAGCAATATTTTGTGTGGCAACTGCTATGGCTGCAACCTAACCTGTTGGAACCCTGCTCTAGTGACACCATGTTCTGGCACCCTTATCTGCCTGGTGACAACTGTTCTGGTGGCTACCTGCTCTGGTGGCACCCCGTTCTTTTGGCACCTTTTTCTGATGGCAACCTGCTCTGATGACACGCTGTCTTGGCGGAATCCAGTTCAATGTTAATCCTGTTCTGTTTGCAGCTTACTCTGATGGCACCCTGCTCTGTATGGCGACACCTTGTTTTGTGGTAGCATGCTATGGTAGCAACCCGATCTTGTGGAACCCAATTCTTGTATCACTCTGTCCTGATGGCACCCTTCTCTGATGACAAGCTGTTTTGCAATCTGCTCTGTATGGTGACAACTGCTCTGGCGGCAATCTTCTAAGGTAGCACCATGTTCTTGTACCCTCTTGTTCTGATAGTAACTTGTTCTGGTGACGACCTGCTCTGACGGCTCCCTGTTCAGCTTGCACCCTGCTCTAGTGGCACTCTATTCTCGTGGCACCCTATTCTAGTGGCACCCTATTCTGGTGACATGCTTTTAATATTGTATTCAACAGAGTTCTGTTATGAAATCGACTCTATCAACTTTGGATTTTCCATTTGATATCACCCCATCAGAGGGTGTCCCCCGGCGCGGTTCGCACCCGTAGTGATGCCACTGCCTGATGTATCCCTGTTTTTTTGTGGCCAACTCTCTGTCTGCTTACACAAGGTAGTTTTGGGGCCAATTTCTGTTTTGTGTTGTTTGCTGAAGATGGCTTTCAGCCGGTGTCATTACTAGTCCAATATCTCCCTTCACAAAGCTTGGTGCTGTATTCTTAGTATTATCACGTGTAAAGGCTTTATGACTTGATGACATGTTTATTTTTTTATTTCACAAGCTTTATCAATTGATGTATTTCAGTTTGGAGATTATTATAAGAAGCAGGTGGTCGAAAATAGCCTTGACATTTGTATCGTCTCATAAACATCATACGATTGGGAGTGGACAAGGTTTAATCACCCCCCCCCTCCCCCTTTTCCAATAAAAGAATATCATCTGATTTTTTTTACCTGCACTCTGGACAAAAGATAGTACAAGCGAACATAAAATGTAGTTAAGAGGTGAATGGTGTAAATGGGGCATTCGATTTTTGGTTAGGGATGGGTGTAGATAAAGGTATATAAAGAGTTAATACTGGCTGAACTATAAGTTATAGTAACAGCGTGGCACTACAGCTATGGTCATCAAGCAGTGTATGAATGCCAAACTATATCCACAACATGCCTATCTGTTACAGTTCCAATATAGGAACTACAGGAATACCATTTCTGGTTCCAATATAGAAACTATAGAACTACTAATTAATGTTTACTGTTACAATAAAGAGATTTGAATGTTTTTTAAAAAGATTTAAATTAATAATTTTTTTATCAACTCTAAGTAAGGGGCCTTGATGGTTGACTTTGGCCAACATTCTTTAGCTGCTAACATCCGATTGTTTCCTCTAGCTATTATTATTTGTTGCCTGATATACAACTAGATTATAAGACATTCAGTAGTTATAAACCAGTCTACACCAAGACAAGACATA